CTAATTACAGCTTTAAAATTATGTGTTTGATATATATTGTTAATTATATATATTGTTAATTGCTGCTAAGTTTATTGTCCAATATGAGTATAATTATATCCAAATTGACACACAATATAACTTTTAATTGGAATATGAGACATAATACAGCAGGAGCTATGGATATAATCTTGTTAAAGGTATACTTTAGGAGTAAAACATCACCCATGGTACCAGCTAAGGTACAGGCAGAGTTCAATTCCATTCCTGGGAGCAGTATCTCTTAGTTGCTACTTCTGATGTGCCAACTCACACTCACAAATCACAAACACATGGACACTATTGTCAGGGCCTATATCTTAGATGCTCTCTTCCCTGCTTGGCACGTGTCTATGATAAGGTATGTCAAAAGGAACTTATAACTAGCTTTCTCTAGTCTTGACCAGAACTACTTTTGATATAAAAGAAAAAAGTGGCCTTTCAAGTTAAAACTTATAGCTCTTAATAACTATTTTCTTCACATAAGTTTTCTTTCTCTTAAAAGGTTAGATCAAAAAGAATTAACCTAGAAGGTAACACCCACGCACAGGAAATCAATGTGAGTCAATGCCCTTTATAGCTATCCTTATCTCAACCAGCAAAACTCCTTGTTCCTTCCTATTAATGCTTATACTCTCTCTACAACAAAATTAGAGAAAAGGGGAAAACAGTTTCTGCTGGTATTGAGGGGGGGAGCGGGAGGGGGTGGAGTGGGTGGTAAGGGAGGGGGTGGGGGCAGGGGGGAGAAATGAACCAAGCCTTGTATGCACATATGAATAATAAAAGAAAAAAAAAAAAGTTTTCTTTCTCTTAAAACAAAGAAATGTGTAATGTCTGTTAAAATAATACAATAGACACTATGTGTCTTTTTCAACCATTGAATTTCATAATTACATAACAATTCTAAATGATATACATATTATTACCCACATGGTTAAGAGAAATATAAAGTTTATGTAATTTTACCAAGGATGGATGACTGTTAAATAGCACACCAAGAGTTGAGCAATGGTTTGCTTGCTTCTTTCTTTTTTCATCTTCTTTTTCCCCCTTATCTTACTTTTTTCCTTTTTTCTTTATTATGTCATTCACTCATTTTTTCCATCTGCTTTTGTCTTACATCTATAATATGCAGTTCATGTCTAACATGAGGGACCATTTAGGGAGTAAGTATAAATTAAGATGGAAGACCAGTGTAATTCCAAGACCTAAAATCTCTAAGAAAAATAATTAACTTAAAAATTATTTTGCTGGACAGAAATGACAATATTTTCATGTGTAAAGCCACTGTAGGTCAGATATATTTAGTGAAACATATATATAAACATACAAACATTATAAACATAAATTAATCATAAACATTACACAGATTTTGAAGCATATTCTCAAGTAATGTCATGACTTCATTTTTTCATCTATGAAAATTTTACAATGTTCTTCTCTGTATAAAATTTTTCTTTTGAAAGAAGCTTTTTAGGATTAATTTGTTTCACTCATGATTTCAATCTAAAATGTTCTTTTAGAAAAGGTCTCTAAACTGAAGAGAACACCCACAGAGTGGGAGAAAATATTTGCCAACTATACATCAGACAAAGGACTGATAACCAGAATATACAGGGAACTTAAAAAACTGAATTCTCCCAAAACTAATGAACCAATAAAGAAATGGGCATGTGAACTAAACAGAACTTTCTCAAAAGAAGAAATTCAAATGGCCAGAAAACACATGAAAAAATGCTCACCATCTCTAGCAATAAAGGAAATGCAAATTAAAACCACGCTAAGATTCCACCTCACCCCTGTTAGAATAGCCATCATCAGCAACACCACCAACAACAGGTGTTGGCGAGGATGCAGGGAAAAAGGAACCCTCTTACACTGTTGGTGGGAATGTAGACTAGTACAACCACTCTGGAAAAAAATTTGGAGGCTACTTAAAAAGCTGGACATCGATCTACCATTTGATCCAGCAATACCACTCTTGGGGATATACCCAAAAGACTGTTACTCCAGAGGCACCTGCACATCCATGTTTATTGCGGCACTATTCACAATAGCCAAGTTATGGAAACAGCCAAGATGCCCCACCACTGACGAATGGATTAAGAAAATGTGGTATCTATACACAATGGAATTTTATGCAGCCATGAAGAAGAACGAAATGTTATCATTCGCTGGTAAATGGATGGAATTGGAGAACATCATTCTGAGTGAGGTTAGCCTGGCTCAAAAACCAAAAATCGTATGTTCTCCCTCATATGTGGACATTAGATCAAGGGCAAACACAACAAGGGGAATGGACTATGAGCACATGATAAAAGCGAGAGCACACAAGGGAGGGGTGAGGATAGGTAAGACACCTAAAAAATAGCTAGCATTTGTTGCCCTTAACGCAGAGAAACTAAAGCAGATACCTTAAAGCAACTGAGGCCAATAGGAAAAGGGGAACAGGTACTAGAGAAAAGGTTAGATCAAAAAGAATTAACCTAGAAGGTAACACCCACGCACAGGAAATCAATGTGAGTCAATGCCCTGTATAGCTATCCTTATCTCAACCAGCAAAACCCCTTGTTCCTTCCTATTATTGCTTATACTCTCTCTACAACAAAATTAGAAATAAGGGCAAAATAGTTTCTGCTGGGTATTGAGGGGAGGGGAGAGGGAGGGGGCAGAGTGGGTGGTAAGGGAGGGGGTGGGGCAGGGGGGAGAAATGAACCAAGCCTTGTATGCACATATGAATAATAAAAGAAAAATGAAAAAAAAATAAAAAAAATAAAATGTTCTTTTAATATGATATTTTCAGCATTTGTAGGGCTTATTTTTAAATATCTTACTACATCTTGTTAAATAAGCCTGTTAGGTTCTTTGTATACATTGTTTACTTTTTACTAATCTCTGTGGAGTTAATTTGTCACCATTAATAGGTACGTTTTCTCTATTCTGTGTTGAATACTCCAGGGTTTTCTAATAAGACCAAACAGTGCTAACAAAACTACACAGAATTACATAAACTTGTCATTGGAATTGTCTCATATATACATAATATCTGAAAGTTTTAATGAATATTATTGCTGTAAGTAATAACTTTTTAATAAATATTTTGCCAAAATTCTAAGTAGAAGTAATCGTAAAACCATAGGTTTTTAAGTGTCTTCCTCCTTTTAATATTCTTTAGAAAATGTAACTGTTTTATTTCATTATGAAAGGATTATGTCTAAAAATCCTATTACTAAAAATACCTTTTGCAATACAAATTTCTTAACTGATACTTTTTTGGGGGGTAAAATTTGAAAACATAAAAACATACAAAATTCAATCTCCCCAGCAATCTACTAGGCAGTTTAGGTATGGAGTATATTTGGTATGTATATTGTACTTACCCTGAAGAAGGACTAACAAATCCTAATTTACTAAAATGAGAACTTTTAGCTTAAGAATGATTTGAATTTGACAAGTGTTACTGTAAAAAATGGTTAAAGCAATGAATAATTGTTTTGAAACATTAAAGAACATATTTTTACTTGTTTTTACTATTAGCTTAGTTTAAACAGTTACTAATTCTTAATTGTACACCCACCCCAAGTAACTGTAAAATGTGGATTCTTTCACATTATTCTTAATGCTGTCTTCTATTTTCTAAGTAATAATCATCACCATTTACCAAGTATAACATATTATGTACTTTAGAGATACCACTCTATTAAATCTTCACAACAGCCACCCGAAATATATTGCCTTTTGAAATCCCATTTTTCAGCTGAGGAAACTGAGAGAGTTTAATTCATGACTAAATAAGTAGGAGAAGCAGGACCCAAGGTCTGAGAAAAGCTCTGTTTCACTTCAAAGCTGTGTTTTTGTCTGCCTCCTTCAACACTAGGGCCAATTTTAGTTAAATGGTTTTTAAAAAGGAGGCGTTAAAATAATCTCTTGGTATCCATGGTAGGGATGAAGGAGACTGGTTCCAAGAAACCCTGAGATTACCAAAATACACAGATGTCCAAGTCACCTATATAAAATGGTGTAGTAATTATGTATAACTTACATCCTACATACTTTAAATCATCTGTAGGTTACTTATAGTACCTGATATGATATAAATGCCATGTAAATATTGTTTTCTATATCCTTTAGAAAATTATGACAAAAAAGGTACATGATCACTACAGACAAAATTTCTTTGTTTTGGGTTTTTTAAAAAAATATTTTTGATCTGTGGTTGGGTGACTCTTTTGATGCTAACCCATGATACAGAAGTCTGACTGTAATTCCCCTCCATTGCTGTCAATTAAGACCCAAACTCCCTTCTGAGAATTATACATTTTAACACTGTCTTTCTTAGCTGTTCTAAAGGATGAAAAATGTTGCTCAAACTGTTGTGGCAGTGATAGGACAGAGTTAGATAACTATAGCCTGAAAATCTCACCCCAACATCACCAAATCATGCTACATAAGAGATTATCTACATTATGAACAAGTAGTAGAGACCTGATGCCATAGTGGTTAAGTACTCTCTGAAGCAATATTCCTGGTTTTCTAATGTAGTAATCAACTTTTCAAATCACAAATCAGGGCAAATTCAGTTATATAATATTTAAAGACTACATGTATGGGATGTGAAGAACTAAACATGAGGACAGCTTCATTATATTCTTTCTGAAGGAATTAATTTGTTTTGAGGTTAAATGTAAACCAAAGAATCATTCTATATTAGGAAGCATAATTAAAATTGCTTAAGGTAGTTTCCCAACAACACTATCATCTTTGTAATATCTCAGAATTGGAAAAGTCCTTTGAGTCCCTTCACTCCTTCTTTCATACTGCTGGTCTCACTGACAAACGGTGCAGTTTGCCATTGTTTCTGAGTACTAGCAACTATAGAATAAGAGCTATACATACAGTTTAATTCACACAAAACTGGTAATGACACCTTTAAGAGAAATAATGTGAAACATAGATTTAATAATAAGCATAAATTTCATTACCACCATCTGCAAAGCCAGTTGCAGTGATAATAGGTATAGCCACCATAATTAGTCCACAGCTGCTCCAAACATACTTCATCAAGAACTGCTCTATCATGATATACCACAAACGTTTGGACAAAATAAGGTTCATTTGATCTGCTAAAGCTTTGTAACTTTTCTGGAGTTGCTTCATTTCTACCTATGGAGGGAAAGAGATAAGAATTAACCCAGCATAAGCTCTAAAGATAAATACGTACAGTCTCTGATTTAGGATTATCTCTAATGATATGAACATATTATTTTATTTTACTTAACATCTGGCACTATCAATGAGTCTCACTGATAAATGCAGATTAAATATTAGAATTAGTCATTATTATTTTAGTTCTTAAAACATGCTACTCAGTGAATACAATGTTGATGTTAATATAATGAAATACATATTAAGTGGACTGGGGTCAGGCTCAGTGGTAGAGTGCTTTCCTAGAATGCATGACGCCCTGGGTTCAATTGCCAACACTGCTGTGTGGTGTGTGTGTGTGTGTGTGTGTGTGTGTGTGTGTGTACATATGTGTGAAAAGTGATTATAATTATTTCAAAATTCTAAGATGTTAAAATTAAATGATTTTCCATAACACATGGATAAACAATATTGGCCACATCTAAAATATCTAAAATGACTTATGTGTATAATTAGACTCCACTTTTGAACTGCCTTGATTCTCTTTTAGGCAAGAAACTTACAGCATACTACAATTTACATCATTGAATTCAGTGACTCAAGAAGAATAACAAATCAGCATGACTAATACAACATATGAGTCTAATTTTTCAAGTGGAAGTAGAGGTTCTAAATTTGTTTTAAACTTTTTTCATCAGTTTGGGTCTTCTGTTTAAAAAATCGTGATAATTACTGATGTTTTGAAAGGTAAATTATTCTGCTTGATAACTGTGAGACCATCTTCAACTTTAGGATATCTTAATATTTCATTTGCCAATTCATCTATACCAGATGTACCACCTTCAAAATTTCTGTCCTATTTAATATTGTGAATTTACTGTCATGCACTACAGTTTTATGTAATGAGATTAATTAGTCTTTCTTTTTTTTATGATTGTTGTGCTGGAAGTATAATATGACATTTATAAAAGTTTTTACAATATATATCAGAGTTGAATCTGCCCCTACCATCATTTCCTTTATCCTCCTTCCCCCCATTCCTGGAATAATTTCAACAGGTCTCATTTTTCCATTTTCATATATGAGTACATAATATTTCTACCATATTCACTCTTTCCCCAAATACTCTCCCTCCCATTGGTACCAACGCCCAAGAAAGGACCTGTTCTGCCCTCCTGTTCCCCGATTTTGGTGAAAAAAACCATATTTTTGTTTAAGAGAAAAATAGAGGGGATGAACTAATTCAGGTTAGAATACATATATACATGGAAATGTCACAATGAAACACTCTAGACTTTCTTATTGTTGACAATCTTTAGTATTTAAAAATAACATTCTGGAACTTCTTTTCTCTTACTCATTTCCTCTTTAATCTCAGCTTTTTCTTCACCGCTCAACAAAATTTAGTTTCACTGTCTCTTTTGTATTTGTGCCAAAGTAAGTATGGTGCTGAGCATAAACTAAGAGTAATGGAAATGTTGTTTTGTGAGACACTCCCTGAATTTCTTAGGTGTTAGGACACTCCATCTTTGATTAGGCATTCAGAATAGTCAAAACTATCTTCTATATGAAAGCATGGAGTTCTTCTACTCTTGAAAAACAAATAATACCATTCTAAATTTTTCATCTCAATGCAAGGGGTTTACTTTTAGTTTCTAAATATATATTTTCTTGACATGGTCTAGGACCGCTTACCAAGTTAGTATTTAAGTTTTGAGAAAATGCTTTTAGGATAATTTTGATTATATCTGAGTAACTCAGGCTATGTGGACTATTTGTTAGTGCTGAAAATTTGTTCTCAGGAAACCTTAGAAAAGATTGCACACTAATTCTTTAACAGCTTTTGGTTATAAAAGGATAATGAAGAATATATTTTAATGTGAATTTAGATATGAGAGGAATCTAAAATACTAAGGAAGTGGGTCCATCAACAATACAACAGATGGTATCTAGCACTACAGTGGCTGCTTGAACAGTCTCATATTTCACCCATCACCTTAATTTCCATCTTACCTTATGTCCTCTGTAAAAGGCAATTTCTTCCACATTGGCTATAATTCTGGAGTGCACATACCGCAAGTAGCCTTTTCTATGAGCTTCTTCGGCTACTAATTTACCAAATTTGGGAGAGCAGGCTTTCAACACTCTGGCAGTAGCATACACCACAAGTCCTGCTAATAGTGTGGGCTCAATTGGGCTTGCTCCTCTGGACATAGCAGTCTGGATGAGTGTATAGGAGGTTAGGATTACATCTAAAATAGGTTTGGTCAGATTGGAATACAAGTGAGCCACAGATTGGGAGAAAATCATAATATCATCAGTAAGAGACTGGTCAGGATTCGCCAGCCTCCCGTCCATATTGATCACCTTATAATAAGTCTGATCTGTAAAATAGGTTTCATAGGCGTGGTCTACTAGGCGCGTTCTGAAGGCCAGAGCCAATTTGCACTCCAGGTATCTTATTGCACTGTTGACGAAGGTGGCAGGAATGGCAATCATGAGCCACTTGATTAATTTGATGACGAAAGCCCGAGGCTTCTTTTCCACAATGCTTTTCACTATCTTTCCATCCAGACCGGCCACATAGATAGACAGAAAGGTTCTTGAGATGAGAGCCACCGAGTGGAGGCAGAGCCACCCTGTTTCAGTGGTCACAAATTTTGGAAAAAGAATCTTCCGAAGTTGCAGAAGCTGTTTGAAAAAATCTGCATTTACTCCAGGCGCAGAGTTTTTACAAATGGTCTCGGTGCAATGCAGTATTTCTCTGCTCCCCGCAGCAGCCCTGTAAGCTTCTTCTTTGCTCTTCCTGTGGGCAGATTGCTTTAAACGTTTGCCAATGACGGGATAGAGGGTTTTCAGAGCAAATGCTGCAGCCACCAGGCAGGCAGCCCTTTTAACAGCACCGGATCTGGCCCATTTCACTCGATCAGCTGCTGCATTTAGCATATGTATCATTTTCCCAGTTACCCAACCCGGCTTCTTTAAAAAGGATTCCTTTTAAAAGATCATGCTCCGCGGGAACCCCCAGCAAATGTTTCAGAAAGCCCTACAGCATCTCATAGTCTGCAGCGTTTCTCCTCAACCTTTTGTTTTGATTTATTATGCTGTCCTGCCGTGGTGACGGATGCAGCAGAGCTGATTCCACTGCATCTGCCGGGGACGATTCCCTCAGAAGCTCTAGCTGCACCAGGCTCCTCCCTCCCAGGCCCCTCATTGGCTGTGAGGCGGTGGGACCTTGGAATCCTCCTGCTTGCTTTTGAACCTTGAAAATGAGGAATGAACAAAACGAATTACATCCTTAAACAGGAGTGCAGAGAGTTAAATGTCTATTTTTGGAGAGGTTGAATCAGGCCAGTTGCTGGGGAACAAAACCTGCCCTAGCTACTGGGCATGCTCGGTGTCACTTAGAAACCCGCACAAGTTTCAGAATATACATCCCTTCTCTAAGATTTTTTTTGGTAGATACCACAAGGGGAACAACAAACAAGAAAGGAAGATTTACAACAGCTTTAATAAGCCCAGTGAGAGGAGGGAGGAAGAACAAGAGGATCAACGTAAAAGGGGTGTGAAAAGGGAAGAGTCAGAGAAGAAAGTGACAAGAAGAAGGGGCACTGGAGAAAAGAAAGTATCAAACACAAATACTTGAGTCTCTTTTGGTATGAAATGATTCATTTTGTTTTTGTTTGTGATTTCCCGTATATTCCCAGAACCCATCAGACAAGCTGTAATTGAGGGTGTTCCTCGTAAATAAGAGAAAAGTCTTCTGTATCACGGAGCATAATTCGTTTCTATACCCCCGTTCTTCTATCCCTTTCCACTCCATCCCTGCATTTATTTGTCCACATAATAAAATTTTCCAGCTCCATAAGCGTTACTTTTAGCAATGAAGTCTGATGCACTTGTACTTGTTTACATGGTGACCATTAAATAAATGGTGACTATTAAATAAATGAGAACAATGTTTCACTTGTACTACCATTCCCTTGTGTTTTTACTTCCAGGCATGTAGCCCTATAGTCTGGAAATCCAACCAGAGTTGGATAATGGAAAACATTTCCTTAGGACCTCATTTTATTTTTTAAAAATTCCTTGTCCTTTGTTTCCAAGTTTTTGTTTTCTTTGTTTTGTTTAGACTTGGAGGTAATTTACTGGCTACTTCCTATTTCCATTTTGGTTCTTTGATTAGAAATCAAGAGTGATTAAAGGATTATTCACATCCCTAATGGAAGATTTAAACAGCCTAATAGTCAAGCAAATTTTGCCTATTTAAAAATATGTGAAGGGTATTTTTTAAGGTTAAGTATATTTCTGAATCTGAGAAAACTATTTTGCCACTTTCCACTATAATATTTACTGGAAGCTTGGAAGGCATGCATTTAAGCTAGAACCAGTGGGCCAATTCTAGTCTGACAATTTTTTTATATGACCCTTGAACTAAGAATAATTTCACATATTAAGATAACTGAAAATACACCAAAAGAATACTTAATGATGAGAAAACCATATTTTTATATCTGTGTCCCTAAGTAAAGTTTTATTGGAATGCAGTCACTTTTTTTTTTTCTTTCTGGTGCTGGAGAACAACAAACCCAGGGCTTTGCTCATGTGAGGCAAGAGCTCTTGTGCTCTACCACTGAGCTACACACCCAGCCCCAGTCACATTTATTTACTTACTTCTCCTCTATGGCGTCTCTCAAGCCATAAAGGCAAAGATGACTGGATGCATCAGATACTAAAATATTTACCATCTGTTCCTTTAAAGAACTTTGCAAACCTTTATGCTGGATTATAAAACCATTCTTAATGTTGAGTGATCCTTATTATTCAATGAATCATGAACAAAGAAACAGCCCTAAACCTTTAAAATGCCTTTGCTATATATGATATATTAATTCTAAGAATCATTCTCATTTGTAGACTTACTAATACATGAATGACAAATTCATGCAAGTCTCTTTGATAGCTGGCCATATTAGTAAATATCATCAGCCTATTAAGTCTTTCTAAGCCTGTATGTGAAGATCATGGGGTCATAGTGGTTATTGTCAAAAATTTTTTATATTTTAGATCATACTTTTGGAGTTTGCAAATAACAGTGCTCTACATTTGTAAATCTTAATCTTATGTCACATCTCCTGACAGCTAAACACAGAAGGGTTAACTGTAACCAGGACAGGTTGGGGGCCAAGGTAAACCTACCTGGGGGTGATGGCAAGATGCTTAGTCAAGCAGAACCTGGTACACAGAAGGATGCCTGGGTTTGACAGCAGCTGGCAGTCGACTCAAGTGGCTCTCACATGAACTGGCAAAGAAACAGAGGCTGGTTCAGGGGAGGGGCAGGGGAGTAAGAAATATAGACTCAAAGAATGCTAGAGATCTAAACAGGATGGCAGTTAGCTGCAGTAGATAGGTCAATTTACCAACTTACAATGAGGCTGGGGTGGCAAGAACCTTTGAATTCCTAGGGTGAAAGAATTGTGAGGAACAATTAGGTATGAGGGAAGTGATCAAGATAGAAATTTAGTTGCCAAAATTGTGGTACAAGGAAGTTCAGTTACTAGAACTGTGGGAAAGGTCAATGTGAGATTTGACTTGATGTTGATCTGCTGAGGTCAGAGCTAACTGCAATCATTTAAATTCCATTCTTACCCATCCTGCTACACTTCTCCCAAGGGTTAGGGTTGGTCCTAAGATCTGAGATGAGGCTCAAGGCTTCCAATAAGGCCAAGAAGGTTCCATATGATAGGAAATAATATATAGGCAATTAGTCATGTGCCATAAAGCATTTCAGTTAACAATAACCACAGATATGACATTGGTCCTATAAGATTATAACAGAGCTAAAAACATTCCTATTGCTTAGTGACATCATAGCCATTATAATGTCACAGCACATTGCATTACTTACATGTTTGTGGTGATACTGGTATAAATAAACATACTGTGCTGCTATGCAAATAAAAGTATAGCACATAGAATTATGCATAGTACATGGTAGCTGATAATAATAAATGAATGTTACTGGTTTATGTATTTATTATACTATACTTTTATAATTAGAGTATTCCTAATTACAAAAGTAGCTTATAAAACATATGCTATATTACATCAGTAGTAGCCTCATGCATCTTGCGTTAACTGCATCTCCTGATTGCAGAAGAACAGTTAAAATGATTTATGTACACTAGTTAGGTTTGTACAAGTACACTCTGATGTTTGCACAATGACAACACCATCTAAGATGAATTTTTAGATGTATTCCCATTGTTAACCAGTAAGTGATTTTATATGCTTTTGAAGTAAGAAACTGCTATCGTTAGGATGATTCTTACATTAAAAAAAATATACTGACAGTAGACAAAGTAAAGAGAATGTTAATTTAGCTTGAACTCCAAACTAGGAGAGGAACAAGGAGGTGAAAAAAAATCACATTATTGTAGTAAACTTTCTTTGTTTAATTTCCATTCAAGCTTCTCAACTTTGCAGTATGTTTACATGGGAAAATATTAAAAGAGGAGAAAATAAACTTAGAAAAAGAACTTGAAACAAGTTTAAAAAAATTTAAAGCAGTAATTCTCAAATCACCCTGCTCTAAAGTGTAATAATCTCATGGACATCATCAATATCCATTCAAAAGCGGGATTACACTTTATAGATATTGGAGAATGCATTCTAAAAATCATATATATATACACACATGTTTTATCAAGTATAAAAATTAGAAACTTTTTACAATACAAAGAATAACATTTACACATATATATAATGTAGATTATAAATGTGTTATATGTTTAGATTATAAATCACCAAAAGTAAAGAAGTTTTAGAAATAGGTAAAATTACTTAAGCTTTAAGAATTTGGAATAGATTTCCTTCTCAACAAATGCAAAAGAGTATTTCATCTGTACTATATTGTTTTCTTCAACTGTTTCCTGACCCAAGAGATTACCTAATTGCTCTACCTAAAATAGCACAGTATTTTATTATGTATCAGTTATGCTATCCTTATTCATTGAAGGCATAAACAACATTGAAGATGAGAGCTTAGGCCAATATTTTAGTTGTTTCCTTGTTCTGAAGGAAATTTCTTTTGCTGTGAAGGAAAACCAAGTAAACACCTTGTCTGAACAAGCGTCTCACAGATTAATCTTTCCTTAGCTTAATTCATCATTACTATTGCCTCCCCATGGCTAGCGGAAAAGCAGTGATTCTAGTGAGCTCAACCTAGCTGATTCTATTCACTTCTCAGTTCTCCACTCTTAACAAATTGGTCAACCTCCCTTTATGTCACTTCACATACAAGAAAAAAAAGTCAGATAGTCTTTCAGGAAATTATTTCCCCTTCTAGTTAATTTAGTGAACAAGTTTTAGAATGTTGGACACAGCTCTATTCTTCCTGCCTTAACTGTATGGTTTTATTACTGGAAATCAATAGTCATTTCACATGGAAGGCTAATTTCCTCTGAAATGCTGAATTCACTTAGTCTAATATACTAATATTAAAAATATGTATATATGATATACTTTGGTGTTTTTTTTTAGTTACAAAAATCAGAATTTGTATTATTAAACAAGGTGTCTACCCTGGGACATAATTCTATTCTAGGTGCTATCTTCCAATGACTTAGAAAAATGTACTCTATCATGGTATCTTCTGCTGGGAAAAAAAACCATGGTAATTAAAAAATTGTTTACTTTTTGCATTTATTTGAGACAAGAGATTTCTAATTTCTAAACAAAATATTAGAAACCAGTTTGTAAGATAAATACTGTAAAGATATACTGTACAAACAGTACAGAAATGACAAAATCCAATTTTTGTAATAGGATTTTTTTTTCCCAGTAAGGAGTTTAAAATATTAGGACCTTCATGGCTAAATCAAGCTCTCAGAAAAACTCACAAAATGTGCAGAATGATAAATTACTATAGTGCAACGTTTCTTGTAAATGGTTTACTAAGTATCAAACCTGCACAACAAAAATATGCAAAGAATTTGGGTAAGGACTAATAAATCGTAATGGAGACATCATTCTTAGGGTTAGACATCTATAACTGTTCTTGACTTCTTTTTCTTTCTGACCTTACAAAAAGACAGCAGAAACCAGCTCGGAACTAGATAAAATTATGGTGATGATGATTTCAAACACTAACCCGGGGACACTGCCTTGCCTCGCCTGAGTTTTTTTTTTTTTTTTTTCCTTTTTCTTTTATTATTCATATGTGCATACAAGGCTTGGGTCATTTCTCCCCCTGCCCCCAACCCCTCCCTTACCACCCACTCCGCCCCCTCCCTCTCCCCCCCCAATACCCAGCGGAAACTATTTTGCCCTTATTTCTAAACCTGTGTGAGTCCTTGTGACTCCAGCTGAATCTGGCCGTCAC